TCTAAACAATCAAATGTAGTTTGTATAAGGTCGAGGCTCTAAACAATCAAAGTAAAGCACGCATTCAAATAGTGTAGAAATATGTTGTTTCAGTATCATAAATCTTTATGATGACCTAAAAAGTTATTTTCATCTCTATTATAAAATTTCAATATTCAAAAGTATTCTAGATTGAGCAGATATTTGAACGATAAAAAATCTTTAAAATTGACGTTGTGGATATTACATTACAAATTGTATTGCTTTTAAGACTTGAAATCCATTTTGCTCATGGCCATACATCTTAAGGTTGAGATGATCAAATTGAGAGTTTTACAGCATCGAAACAACCTTTTTGAGGTGTGCCGTAATTTGATTGTTTAGAACCTCACCTTTATATAAACTTTTTCCTTATAAATTTTTTTTGGACAATATTCAAACTTTATTAATAATGAGATCGATAAATCACACTCATTCATAGGGAGAAACATTGGATTCCGGGAATACGCATAGGATCTTTGATGATGTATTGTAGCTCTCTTTTGTACAAGTCAAAAAAGTGGAGAGTGCCGAATCGTGTGGCACCAACCAATATCGAAATATCAAAATATATCCAAACAAATGTCCGATCATATAATATATAAAGTTGCCATGTCTATGAATCTTCCTTCTAACTTGTTGCAGATTGCCTTCGACTCTAACGACCCCACCGTTTTAGGGCAAGGAAAAGTGGGACGTTTTCTCTCTCTCTCTCTCTCTCTCTCTCTCTCGATTAATTCCAAGATATGAGAAGGTTGACGAGGATAAACAGTTTATGTGGTCTTAAACGATTGGTAAGCATAGCATGCATTGCATTGCTTTCATAGTGGGGAACAAATGGCACTTTCACGCGCTCCATTGCTTTCTTAGCTCCACTACTTTTAGTGATTGTCAATTTAAGAGTAAGGAACTCGTTATTCATCATATTGTTAAAGTATATGCCTTAGATTCTCAGCAAATATAAATGGATGAAAAATCTCTTGAGCCACAGGGTTGAGCAACCTGAGGATGAATATAAAAAATTCCCACAACTTAAACTAATTCAAGTAAAGTACACATCTAAAAACTCCTTAAAAGATGTAATTTTGGTTTCGCAAATTTCTATTATGATCTGAAAGTCTAATTCATATCTAATTATGAAATTTAAAGTACCAAAAAATGGTACAGATCAAACAAACAGATGAAAATCTAGAGAATGGATAGTCCAAATTACATCTTGAGGTATAGGTGATCTACCAGACGGCTTTGTAGCATTGAAACAACCTTTTTGATGATTTTTTATGTGCGCTTTTTTTCTACAATATGAAGTTGTAACTTTATATAAACTTTTTTTTTATTTATAATATTTGGAGAGGTGAATTACATGGTTTTTTCTCGTACTAGATACATTTTTTCATAAAATATTTATATTAAATTATTGCCATAGATTTTTTTTATTTTATTAAAAAATCGTGTCCAAACTGAAAACCCATAAACCAAGGCCTAAATTAATGGCTTACTCCAAATCGAAAAGTATGGCACCTTGTTTGCTCGAGGGAGAGGTCAAATATCCAATCCTTAAGCATTTCCCTTCGATCGTGAAGAGTTACCCATTCTTATAAACAAACCACGCTATTGTAGTACTCTTATATCATTTGTTGTGCATGCGGAACCTTTAAATCTGATGGGTTGATTTTTGACAAATAAAGTACGAGAAATAAAACATGACGCATACCATAAAAACACAAAGATTTATGTGGCTCATCCCAAAAGAGCTACATCACGAACACGGCAAAAATATATCCACTATACCAATGAAAGTTACATCAAAGATTTTGGAACAAACCTCGACAAAAACACAATCGAGCCCACCCTTTTAAACCGCTCATCCTTATTTCTCTTTATTTCTGGCAACTATTACCAACAACACCAGATAGAAACGCAAGAGTAACGAAAAACTTACTTTCTCTCTAACTAAAAGGGGAACAACCCAAAATATCTATGGAACCACATCTCTACAAGAAACAAGCAACCCTCTCAATCTTTGGGTCCAAAAAAAGTTTTATTCTCTCTAACATGAAATTGCATCTTATGCACAGAAGGCTCTAGCTCCTTCTCTCTCTCCCCAAAGAAACTACCATTCCCATTTGGTGATCCAAATAGGACACACTTTCTCTATCTAAAAATAGCCCATTATATAAATAAAGGAGACTCACAAAAAAAAAAAGGCTCACGTGATGACCTTTTCTATTCATTTTTTTTTATAGGAAACTAAATTTTATCTCTTTAAATATGAACCTTCAAGTTCACCCTAATCCAAATAGAACTTATCCCAATAACCAACTCTTAAAGAATATTTAATTGGTTATATAGCATTCTCAATAAATAAGAAAATATAGTAATAAAAGTTACATAAGAAATTTGCAAGAGTCAAGAAACTCTCTCTCTAATGAGAGCTGCAAGTGTTTTTGGTGTTGTGACCTAGGTTTGGAACTTGGGATGCAGGAGTTATCCCACATGGCCAATCCATTAACCTAACGAACAGAAGCACTCTAATTTTGAGAGAGAGAGGGGGTATGCTAGCCCTTCTCTCTCCTTCTCCTCCTCTTCTTTTTTATTTTTCTTTTTTTTTTTTATTTTTCTTTTATTTTTCTTTTTTTTTTTGACCCTAAAAAATATATGCCCTTTGACTTTTTAGGAGCCCAAATCCCCACTTGACATATTCCCTTCAATTACCAAAAAAAAAAATCGTAGTTGTTAGTGATTTCCAAAGCTACTTGCATCTGCCCATGACCAGAAGTAACTCATGTCATGGATTGGTTAAATAAGGTGCACGTCAAGGATCCAATAGAAATAAGTGCTCCAATGTTAGATCATGTGGACTTAATAAATATGGATATAAAGGTAAAAAAGAATTTCAAGTTTTATAAATAGATCCTTTAACTAGAAGTTATTTGAATCATGGTTAGTAAGTCTCCGTTTAAAATATGATTTTTTAAAGTTCATTAAAAACTCCGAGTTTTTCAAAAGATCTTCAAAAAATCGTATTTTTTTTATGGAACCAATATTAGTATTTTATCTTTTACAAAAATAAAATTTTCAAAAAGACTTCTTCCCTACAACTTTATTTCTTCATTAACTTAATATTATTGAATTCTGGTTTAAAGATAAAGTACATTAACAATGGGAGTAAATTAAGAATTTTGATTTAACAAAAAAACTCCATCAAAAATTTCACTACTGAGTTTCCTTATAAAAAAATACAATAATATGTTCCCCAAAAAAGAATAATCAAAACAATTGGTTATCTCAAAATAATAGGTAGAATTAGAAGAAGAATAACCCAATGAATTTTTTTCTTTCTTTAATAGGTGGTCGATCAAAACAATTGAAAGCAACGTTCCAAATGTTTTTTTAATAATATTATTATTTTTAATTTTCAAAATTTATTTATTTTTTCATATTCGTGATCTCCATATTAGAGATTACATGTCATTTAAAATTAAGTACAAAAGTCCATCTCAAAAATACATTTTTAAAAGGTGACTCATTTCTACATGGACTCATAAAACCAGTGTCCTTGCTCTAATGACAATAGTAAGGCTATAAAATTATTGTTTAATAGCTTTAATATATCTATACAATTAGTTGCGAGTCATAATCCTACATTGTGTCATCCTTGCATATCCGATTTTTTCACTACATATTTTTAACTAAATCTAAAATATTCATGATTCTATAACTCACCTTATGTTTTGGCAATCCATATTTCTTACCTGATTTTTTCTTCTGACTTTTTTAAATAAAACCGATTTATTGATGTTTTGGTTTGTCGATAACGCATGCAATGATATCATTTACTTTTGATACAAAGAGGTCACAATTACTTATGACTAACTATAAGAATATCGAGAACCCTTTAGCTTGCGGAACCGAGGGTATAATGATTTGGCTATTACCAAACCCAACAATAACCAAACCTGATAGCCTAGATGTGTCACAAAATTCGAAAAAATTCTTTTAAACTTCGAGCAGTCATGAAATAAATGCACCCACTCAGTTTCACAAAATCAAGTTTAATTCTAACCATCTTGTATAAAAGGTAAATAGTCTCATTATATGATTTTTCTTTTGTTATTCCATGACTTACTAACTATGATCGACACCATTTATTTCAAAGTTTTCAAGTATTTATAGATCTACTTGATCTATATTATTTACAATATTTTAAAGTTCGTAATTAGAATCGAGCGTGAATTTTAGAGGCACTGCAAAATTCCCATACATACCAAAATTCAAAGGCCCACACCTACGTCTCCCATCAAAAATTTAAAGATGCCCCCTTTATACATTATAAAGTGTTCACCTTATTAAAATCTGACCATCCATAAATGCATTTAAGAGCATATAGTACCCCAGCATTTAAGGATGGTTTTACCATATATCTGCCAAGTATCAGGGAACACATTAATGTGTATAAAATGTCCTATGTGCTTTCTTTCTCGTCGAAGGCAGGCGGTGGTGGGATAGGAAAAGGATAGGATGTCGGAAAAGAGAACGTGAAAAGCCTCCCTCATTCTCATACTTTTCTAGCTTTTGCCCCACCATTTCCATGTTATCCACTACTACACCTTCCCCCCCATTTTCAGTTTATAAGAGAGAGAAAAAGTCAATATCTTAAATCCCCCATGTACGCAAATCACCGTCGAATTCTCGATCCAAGAGCCAGAAACAGCTCCCGCCCTGATAGAGAGAGAAACCAAAAGTGGAGTCCTAGAGAGAGAAGCCAATTACGGAAACACCCTCGCCCGCTGTACACACCTTATAAAGGAAATAACGAAGCTCCGTCTAGAACTCGCGTTACGAACAAAACAACCAAAATACAGCTCAATTCTAAACGAAAACTAATGAAATTTCACCGAAGAAACGAAGGTTTAGCAGAAATTTCGCTGAAGAATAGGAAAACCATCAGAATTGTACTGAAGCTCAAATATTTCATAGCCTTTTTTTTTTTTCTTTTTTCTTATTAATACTCTGGTGTTTATTTATAATCTCATAAATTACATACCTATGATAAAAAACAAACATATTACCAACCCTAAAAACTCGGTTTACATGGAATCAGTACCCATACTAACCCGAACCTAAACCCTCACTGCAAACCATAACCAGTTACTACAAATAGTAAGAAACCGCCATATGGAAATCCTAAGCGGTTTTCCAAAACCGCTTAACAGTAAGCAACGCACTTCTTCTTGCAATCCATGGTACACCCGCCTCCTCCACCACCCGATCCATAGTTCTTACCGGATTTGGAGAAGGACTTGAAGCATTTTGCAGGGCAAACCAGTTTCTTTTTATAGCAAGGTCCTGGAGCTGAGCAAACAACCGTTGGCCTGTAAATACCACCTTTCGAGTAGCCACCATTTGGTCCGCCAAAACCACCACCATAGCCGCCTCCTATTATGCCATTTCCCCAACCGCTGCCGATTCCTGGTATTCCAAAACCGCCGCCCATTCCTGGTATTCCGAAGTCGCCGGGATCTGGATTTCCAGCGCGTTTTTGGCCGGGGTTCTTCTTGAGCTCGTCGGAAAAGACGTCAGCAAAGGCGCGGGAGAGGGTGGAGGCGGCCAAAACCGCTAGTACGAGCAAAACCGCTGTGGAGACACCGCAGATGGTTTTCATGGCTAGTTTAGGCGTGGAAGAGAGAGTGCGTGTACGTTTTATAGAGATGAGAGAGAGAAAGCATTAAAGGAGAGAGGTGCGGTGTTCGAAGACAGTTGAGGGAATGCAGTAGGTCAGGTGCATATTTATTAGGGACATAAACCAGATTATCCACTCACTCTTTTAATAATGCACCCACTACTTTCGTAATACCCGGCGTTATAGAAACCGAAACCAAAGATCAGCACCAATGGATTAAAAAACGGATCGTTGACCCGGATCGGGCATCCAAAAAATCGATCAAGATTAGCGAATCGGCGATTTGGATAGGGAATCGAGTGAATCGGTCAGAATAAAGTTTAAAAAAAAACTGAAAAAATTATTAAAATTCATTATAAATATTGTTTTTTAGGAATTCAATAAGAAATGAGGGTATTCCATTAAGAATTTTTATGTTTTTGAATGAATATGCGAATATTGATATGTTCTTTCCCTGCATGAACCGCCATTTACATCACACAAAAGGATAAACATAGAATTATCATGGAATAAGTATATCAACATACATGGACTACAATAAAGCATAAAATGAGTAACATATGATCTAAAAATAAAATGATTGACGACGTTATTGTTTTTCTTGGTCACGCTGGTGCCATTGATTGAATTCGTTTAACAATTCATTGATTCGATCTAAAAACGAATCATCGATATTAGCAGGCGTCTGACTATTCCCAAATCCCTGAGT